ACCATATCTCGCTTCAAAAACGACAGTACCAGATTCATTTAACGGAGTCTATAGGAAAATACTGAAAAAAATGTTACCAGTAGAGATGTATATTTATAACAGTTTAGGAAGCTCTTCCATTTTAAACTGGGGGCTGGGATAATGCAATTTCATTAAATTTGAGGTTGGGGTGAGGATTTTGTTAATGGGGAATTTAGTCAGGGTTTACTGATGAGATTTACTCCCATACCCCTTACTCTTGACTTCCATACATATAAATCATATTTTCAGTAAATATAAAAAATTGTTTCATCAATAAATGAGATTTCTTTTGCCTATCCAATTGCACCATAGCCATTATCATTTTCCCCAAATTCCTTTTCAAATTAAGCTGTTAATTAAACATCCCGTTACCTGGTTCAACACCTTATCATTAAATGAGTTTGGTTCCCGTCCCATTTTGGGAAGATAATTAAAATAATTCAAGATAATTGTTCACTCATGTAATTGTTTTGCATCTGCCAGGGATTAACTACCGGCAGGATTAGTCCACCAGTTGTTTGGTTTTTGATATTACTTATTTTTCACTCATTATCATACCCTAACTCAAAAGTTTTTCTTAGGTATGTTGTATTTTTTAATTACAGAAATGAATAATATTCGTTTAAAATAGGACAACCCAGTCTCTACAATAAATGTACGATTAAACGACATGGCTACGAGGATGAAACATTGCTGATTTTTCCTGAGATATCACAACAAAAGATTTTAATACTGTGGACAAAACACACATTTTAACACTTAATGACCAATTTCATATCCATGAGTGGCAATTGCTGTATTAGATGTCATTGATATTGATAAATTTTCATTTAGATCTACTTACCAATTACCAAGACAAGTTAATGTATTCACTTTGATTATGATATTGTGCACATCGGGTCCGGATTATTCAAAGTGTTCGGTGGTGGTGGGATACTCCAAAATTTCAAAAAAGCTCTGACTTTCTCCGAAAGAGCATCAGATGAAAGTATGTGTCCATTTGCGCAACGTGTATAATACCTAAAATAACCATGCACAATAATTTAACTTTTCTTTTTGGGACACCAGACCGATGCCATCCCTACCTAACTAAAAATAAAGGATTTTATGTATTGTTGTATGCTCTCGAAGTGTTACAAATGTTTTATATTTATAAAAGAATTTAGACGGCAAATTTAAACCTAAGTATTCCTAGGGTGTTAATAAATAATATTCAATTATTTGTTTTATTTTATTTTAGTTTAAGATTTAGAATATTGTATAAGAAATTGTGTAAGTTTTTGATGTTGCAATAAATAAAAGACTAGTGTTTTGACGATAGCTGTTTTATGTCATTCTCATGTGTATTTGTGAATATAGGAGGCTAGTAGTAAAGTCGGTTTGCAGGAAGCTTCGAGTAGTTATTTATTAATCTTACTATCTTATCTTGTCGATAACCAGGCCTTACCCCAAACTCTCCATAAAGAAATACAAGATATTGTTAGTCCCTTTCGAAATACAAAATATTGTTAGTCCCTTTCTAAATCATGGAATCCTCAATATAATTATAAAATAAAGACTCTCCGTGAATTTTTGTATTGCATGTCCATGTCCTGCACATGCATATTTCAGAGGCTCATCCTCTAAGCTTCCCACTTCGCGTAGCGCACGGTGGTTTCCGTCTGTTGACAATTCTGTCTCCTACTTTCTACATGTGCAGGTTCCCTGTCACTTACTATAAAAAACAGTACAACATATGGTACTTTAATTTAATTAGTTAATTGGATTCTACGTCTAATCGTTGATTAGTTATTTTAGTGGGGAAAAAAACTCTATTATATAAGAATACGTGGGTTATTTAAAAGTTTTTTTATTTTATAAGGGGCTCCGAGTGGCCGAATGGTCTAAAGCGCTGTCCGTTACGGATCACTGCCATCTCACCCGTCTGCGGGTGTTCGAGTCTAGGATTCGGCTAATGTAGATAGTTGAGAAAGCTTGCAGGTAGCTTCTCGTGGGTCGGTGGTTCTTTCCAGTGATATCCCGGTTTCTTCCTCCACCATTAATACTGGCCGCCATGAATAGCCTATCGTGTGCTGACAAATGGCGTTAAGCACAACAACAAACAAATTATTTTATAGATATTTTAATCCCCTTTCCAAATATCTTTCCTATTTCTAACTTTTGCATTCAAATTTTGACATAAATTTCCTCTTGATAAAAGTCTTTTTTTGTTATTGCGTTGTTCCTAACAGTGTCGTTTATATTACTAGTATAAAACCCAAACAAGTAACAAGTGACTGGGTGTGTGTTTGTTTTTGTATCTTGGGGATCCTAACCCCTCCCACACCGAGCTCAGGCCCTGCACATTCCTTAATGCTATACCAAATGTTCTGTGGGAGATTGCCGATTACCATAGGAGTTTTATCCCAACGTAGTTCATAATTATTTACCAATTTTTATGTACTTTCTCATTTCATAAGTTGATTTCATCGATTCTCTAAAATAATAAACAACTTGTCATAGTTTATTTTAATACAAACTCCACACACTGCACCAGCTCTTATCCGAACAAGCATGCCGTGAAATTTCTGTATAATGTATATTTTTGAGTGCGGAGGGGGCTTTTGACCCAATATCTTGGTACTGATAAACTTTTGAAAACATATATTGCGAGTCTAAAAATTTAAAGGACAAATTGCATAAATGACTGAGGATATCTTTCCAAAGTGTCAAATCTCAAAATAATATTAAGTCCTCATTATCCACATTGTGGTCTACCCAAATATATTTGTTGTTGTTTGGATTAAAATTAATTGGTGTAATAAATTATTTGAAAATGTGCGCGACGTACTCCTAAAAGTGAAAAGCTATCGACAATGTGTAATCGAATATATATATATATATATATATATATATATATATATATATATATATATATATATATATATATATATATATATATATATATATATATATATATATATATATATATATATATATATATATATATATTGTTTTTATTTCCCTAGTTAGAATACGATCAACTGCAGCGCTCATTTATCTTTGAATTTAAATAAATAATATTATTTTCTTCACTTCCCTATGTATTGTGATTGCCAAACTGGACTTTAATTTTCACTTGGCAAAGTCCTTGTAGTGCTCAAAAAAAACTTATTGACAGACAAGCTCAGGGCTGGTAACTTTAAAAATGTCACAAGCTATGAATAAATTTTAAAAGATCTGGCTCCAGTTTCAAATGCTCAAAAATTCGTATTTTTGTTACTATTTCGAAGCACTGAAATAAATACTTTCAGTCGCAGAATAAGGATAAATTACGTTCAATAAATAGCTACCCTTGACTCAAGTTTCACGAGCTTCAGCATCAATCTTGTGTCCCCGAGACAGCTCTATTTTATTACAATTTTATTTACAGTGTTAAAATTGCTGTATTTTAAATATGAAAGAAAAAATCCCATTTAAATGACTCGTCTGTTTTTTTTTCGTCTCTCAGATTATTTCTCGTTAAGCAACTATTTTCTCCAGCTCATAGTAGCATCCATTCTCCAGTATCTCCAGTATTAAGTTGGCTTTTAAAGAAAGACAATCTGCCTCAATTTTAAATTTCCTTATTGTACAAGACCAGACGTGTTAGTCGTCCAAAAAATTCGTAACAATTAAATGGCATACTTCACAAGACAAATCTCTAATTCCTATTCGGCTTTAGATTGGTTCAATGAATCATAATTCACTGAAATTGCATATTATCAAAACACCATTTTCAGTAACACTACATTTGGTTTACAACAAACATTTTTCTCAAATCTTTATAATAAGCACAAATTATTTTCACGTAAGTTCCATATAACATAATAATTACATATGATGTTCGATGATTCGTGTATAAGATTAAGCGACAATTATAAATCGTATAAATATTTTTATTTGTAAACAAAAATCTATTACATACATACATATATGCCTGTATGCATGCAAGAATGCATGCATGCATGCGTACGTACGTACGTACGTACATACATACATACATACATACATACATACGTACGTACGTACGTACGTACATACATACATCCATACATCCGTACGTACGTACATCCATACATACGTACGTCCATACATCCATACATACGTACGTCCATACATCCATACATACGTACGTCCATACATCCATACATACGTACGTCCATACATCCATACATACGTACGTCCATACATCCATACATACGTACGTCCATACATCCATACATACGTACGTCCATACATACATACATACATACATACATACATACATACATACATACATACATACATACATACATACATACATACATACATACATACATACATACATACATACACACATACATACATATTAGGTAAGTACTTACACACATGCACTTATAACTTGTCGCTAAATGTATCTGTTACGTACAGTATATAGAAATTATTTTTAAGATCTGTTTTGCATCAATTATAATTTATTTCAAAGTGTGCGAACAGGAATTATAGAATATGGGTCTTTGTTAATTATTTTTAGATTTATCGCACCTTGAATTTTTCCTACAAAAATAGTCTACTTATACGTGTAACTTCCGACAATTGTAAACCTATGTATTTTTTAAAAAGAAACTAACGATGTACTTGCTTATAAGTTGAGTCAAACTGCCTACATGTACTCGTATTTGCTGTTACATAATCTGAAGGTTTGTGGTACTGATTACTCGTGACTAACGATGTTGATTTGAGGTGATGTGATTATGATTTTTTAAGGTAGCTTTAAAGATTGTTCAGTCCTATCGCTACGATTTCTGCAGTGTGGCAGTTTATAGTGATTTCTAATACTGGGGCATGTCTGGGGCAGACATGTAGCATGACGTCCCACCCAGTTATATCATCCTGATACCAGGCCAACCGGTTTAAACACCAACCTCTTAATGCTGAGCGCCAAGCAAGGAAGCTGTTAGTACTTTGTGTCTTTGGTACAACTCGACCTGGATTCGAACCCACGACCTCCCGCATCCGAGGTGGACGCTCTCACTACTAGGCCACCGGATCGGTTCGTGACAAACGATGGGTGCCCTATATGTCAATACTGTACATTTTTGTGTGCAACAGTTGGATAAAGATTGTATATGATAATTTTTTTTCACCTCTAAATACATGATGTAAAAAAGAACAGAACGTACATAAACTGTATATTAGGGGCCCCGAGTGGCCGAGTGGTCTAAAGCGCTGTCCGTTACGGATCACTGCCATCTCACCTCTGTCTGCGTGTGTTCGAGTCTAGGATTCGGCTAATGTAGATATGTGAGAAAGCTTGCCAGTAGCTTCTCGTGGGTCGGTGGTTCTTTCCGGTGATATCCCGGTTTCTTCCTCCACCATTAATACTGGCCGCCATGAATAGCCTATCTTGTGCTGAAAAATGGCGTTAAGCCCAACAACAACAACAACAACAACATAAACTGTATTTAATAGAAATGAAATTTTGACATCTGGATAACAAGTAAAACATTCCGTTAAAATTTAGTTATCCAGATTGGTCCTCAAATAGAAATGATCATATATCTTTATCATCATTAAACACAAAATTGCCCATTCTTACAAAGCACTGAAATTATTTATCAAATTATTAAATAATTGTTTACCAAATTCACATGGACACTGTATTTAGTCGTATATACAAATGCAGCAAAGATTACAGGAATGTATCAACCACCAGGTATTAACAGCATATTTCCGTTTTTATATTCCATATACATTAAACAAAAGGTAATCATATAGTTTTATTTGAGTTCCGATAAATCCATAGGAAAATAGTATACGAGATACCTTGCAATGTAATTTTATAATATATGACATATCACATCCAACTTCGTTATGAATAGAGTTTTCTGTCTTACCATATATACTCCAGCCGAACTGCAGGCAAAGTAGAAAGATAAAACTATCAAAGATTGATTAATAATTATGTGTTAATCTCATCTTAGGTCACACATAATTTGTATTATTTAAACCAAATAAAACACGTTTTTCTATATATCCTTACAGACAAAATACGTCAATTTTCTATTATGAAAACTGAGTCTAAATATCAGGGTAATTCAATTGCTTATCCAGCTTCTGCAACATTACTTGTATCGGACATTTCGTGTAACAGAACAAAGTCACGACTGCTGTACCCGAATTTGATTACATCCTTCTCAAAAAGCTCCACATAACGACGTGGTTCAATCTTTTCATTATTCACATATATTCCATTGGATGAGTCTAAGTCAATTCTATATGGAGCTACTCGTTTTCCAAAAGTGCCATCCTCCCGTTTTAAGTCAACCATTCTGTATTGAAGCACTGCATGTTGTTTAGAGCACGAAGGATGGTCCACAGGAATGTCAGCCACAAGTCGATCTCGACCTATCAAATATGCACTCTGTCGGTGAATATGCAGCACTTGCAAATCTTCATCATTTTTGAATGGATCGAGCCTCCATCTCTTTTTGGGCTTTCGACTCCGATAAAGGGATCTGGTACTGGCGTTTTTGAAGCGGGATATGGTATAAAGGAAGAAACGTAACGTATCATGAATATACATTTTAATTTCATTGTGGAATTTCATGATTGTTGCAATTTAATTATGGAATTTCATATTTTATCCAATAAAAAATTGGCTTAGCTTTTAGGTTCTTCACACCATACAAGCATAATGGTCAAATACAGTAAACCCTAATCCGAACACTAACCATATTATTCCATTTCTATGGCAATATTGCTTTACATCCAATGGATGCAATGAATTTATGACGATTCATATGGGAGTTCATATTATTATGACAAACAAAATAAGACCCACAATTATGACGCTATTTTTTAATAAGATATATGATTTAAAAGTGTTTCAAAATATGCAGAAAGATTTAGTGCGATGGATTAACAGTGTATGAATCATTCATATGAAAGTTAGATGACAAAATATAGGTGCATCCAATTAGATTTAAAATAAAAATGATCTATAGGCATCTTTTTATCACTGTGTAAAGATTTTATATGTACACCCCCACCCCACACATTATACGCCTCAAAGCACACAAAACTTCAAAAGGCACAAGTTTGTATGTGTATATGTGTGTCTGTGTGTGAAGGTTTTAAAAGTTGTAAACGGGCTATATTAGACTTGTGCAGGAAATTGTCTTATCTTTGATTTTTCCTGTAGGTGTGGGACTTTGTACCGGATGAGTAAGATGATGTTTTCCTTTACAAACATCTCCTTGGGGCATGTTATAGAAAATAACAAAAATGATGACTATAACTACTACTGCTATTGGATTCCAATACCAAATAATAGGTCGCAATGGTGTTCATTCCATCAACCACAGCAACGCAAATTGCTAAGTAGATCTAGATGAAAATTTAGCATTATAAGAGACTCGTCATCTGATCCAGCAATTTCCAATTAAGTTTAAGACATCTGTCATTCAGTTTTGAAACATCTTTTGATTCCTGTGATATGTCTTTGCGTTATATAAATCAAGTTTTTTATTTTCATTACCAGGTGATGGGCAATCTTGCTTTTTCTGGAAGGGTTGTGTGCGCATGTTAGGAATGAACATTATTAATATGCAGAACTAAAAATCTAGTAGGTGTCCTACGTTTCAAGCTTTGAGCAAATAATTGAAATACAAACTCTCGATCTACTCTATCCCTACTGGACAGTCACGTGAGTTGGCATACTAGCCCTACTGGACAGTCACGTGAGTTGGCATAAATACCAAATCAAGATCAAAGGTAACACGCAGGCAGTTGTTGCCCCGGCAGGAACAAAAGATTACCGCGGAGGGAGGGAGCCCCTATCCTGGATTATCTTAATTAGTACCTACGAAAGGGTAGGAACACGGGTCACTGGAGCTATTGGCATTTTGATTCCGGTGACGGGATGCTTATATATTGCAGTTATTAAAAGAAGGGCACACTTGGATATTCGCTCTGGAAGAATAGAGGACATGGAGGAAAGTCAGTTAAAAGCAAGTAGATATCAAACAAAGGTAAGAGAAATTTCCGTAAATTATGATTTTATTCTGAATGAGAACCCTACGATATTCTGCTTTGAATGGTAAACATACTGACATAATTGGTGTCTACATGAATGTGAACGCAAATCATCAATTTTGTTGAAGTTTTTTTTTCTTCAATATTACGTATTTCCTCACCTCTAAAAACAGAAGTTAGCTATGGTACTATCGATTGCATCTCTCAGATTAAAGTATATAATCATGTGTACCCTGGTTGAATGACATCCGATATATAGTCCGACGTCCTTGGTAAATTTCATATTACCTATGCATAGAAAAGAGGCTGAAGGAGCTAAGTTGGTACAAATATGTACATTCGTTCTACTTTTTTCTTAACTTGTATGTTTACCTCGGGCTTTTTGCACACTAGACAAACTGTCGTACTTTTGATAAAACCGCTCTATTGGATTAGTGGTTAGAGCGCCGTCTGTAATGATGGAGGTCATGGGTTCGATCCCCTGTCAAGTCATACCAAAGACTTACAAAAAATGGTACTTACAGTTGCCTGGCTTAGCGCTTAGCATTAGGAGGTTAGTGTTAGGACTGGTGGACCTGGTGTCAGACTAATGTGACTTGGTAGGACATCATGCTACATGTCAGGATGCCCCAGTGCTAGACGTAAGTATAAACTGCCACACTGCAGACATCGTTGCGATATGACTAAATTCTTAAAGCTAAGTTAAAAATCATAACCACACATTATTTTCGATTACGATTCTTGGTGACGGTATTAATCTGGAAAAGAGTATATTCTAGTAAAACCTGAAGTTATCTGTACTGAATAAGTTGTGTAGGTGACATTTCTTTCTCCGTAATGATAGAATCATCAAGCTACATGATTGTAGGTATCTCTGTAAGTACCACAACCTAATCACAAAAACCGATGTTAGCTACATTTACTAGAACATACTCGAACAAAATGGAATCAACGAAACTACCGGAAACAAAAATAAATGTGGGTGGTGTGTGGGTGTGTGATTGGGATTTTTAACGTATTTTAAGCAATTTCTCAGTCCCATCGCAACGATCTCCATAGTGTGTCAACAAACACACACACACACACATTATATATATATATATATATATATATATATATATATATATATATATATATATATATATATATATATATATATATATATATATATATATATATATATATATATATACAATGGGAGAATCTTAACATAGCAATCACTTCCCTTATGCACGTTCATGTACATGCAACTAGTGTTAAAGCACGTGAAATGGTGTAATTGTTGTTCAGTTTAATGGATTTCAGAAAGTGGCAATTTACTTAGTGCCCACACTTGGTTCAAAGGTTGAAGTTTCAACCCTTCTGACATCATTCTTCTGTAGGAACATTTAATTCATTCCATGCAAATCTTCAGTTCTTTATGTGATTATTTATTTTTCTTTCAGGATGCTAGAGACAGAAAGCACATGGGTAGTAGAAGTGAGGACCAGTATAGGCGACACCGAAATCATCCATATCGTAAAATAAAAAATGAAACCCAAGAAGGTTATGAAACGCAAGAAAGTCGGCAAAAGGATGCAAGGCGACAAGATCGGTGGCGTAATCCATTAACGCCTGATAGGCATGGAGTTGAGTTTCGTGTAGTTGAAAAGACTGATAGTTCACAAACTGAAAATAAACCCAAGGAGAAACCTAATTTTCAGCTGTCAGGAAAGCTCACTGAGGACACTATCACTTACAGAGGTGTTGTTATTAAATATAATGAACCTCCAGAAGCACACACACACACATGATTTAGCAAGGGACTAACAATATTTTGTATTTCGAAAGGGACTAACAATATTTTGTATTTCTTTATGGAGAGTATGGAGTAAGGCCTGGTTATCAACAAGATAAGCTAGTAAGATTAATAAATAACGACTTGAGGCTTCCTGCAAATCGACTAATACTAGCCTCCTATATTCACAAACACACATGAAAAATGGCATAAAACAGCTATCGTCAAAACACTATTC